AGTTTTCGTTTTGTATACCCTTTGAATTGTTTAAATGATTCTAAAAGAGATGACAGTTAAGTCCAATAAGTGCAAGTTTTTCATTTTCATGAATGTGCTTTAATTAATGGATGTATGTATCTACATAAACATTTGGACAGACTGATAAATCGATAGGGAGTTAGATGAAAACATTGATGAATATAGTTCATAGATATGGATATATATTAAATAAACGAATGAAGAGAGAGGGCAGAAAGGAGGGATGGAGGAAGAAAAAAGAGGTGAAAGTGAGAGAAAAAGAGAGCCAGATATTGACAGGCAACGTGGTAGAAACATTTTTAATTCTACTTTCATCTTTACTTTTCAAAATTTGTGATTACAATGATCAACACTAGAGATTAGTGTGATGTCTCATAAATACTTAATTCTACTGAGGACTATTATGTGAAGTTTTTTTTTTTTACTATTTTTTATTATTATTATTATCACTATTGTTAATATCAACATCACTATTATACCTGTTACTATTAGCATCATTATTGTTATTACTGTTATCATTATTATTTTTATCAATTTCCTTATTAGTAATATCATTCCTATTACTGTTAGCATTATTACTATAATCATTATTATTATTGTCCTTGTTTTTGTCGTTATTATCATTAATTCTAGTATTCATAACATTCTTCTTTTTACCACTAGCGACTTTTTTCATCATTTATTCCATACAAAAAACTCCGACAGATATAAACTTTCACACACAGTGCCGCGTGTCTAACATAAACCAAGACAATGCAAGCTGTGCGCCGGACCTCCGCCAGGGATGTCGTAACCCCCTTGGTATGTAAATTTCCTATTCCTGCATTTGTTAGCTTGCACTTCATTTTACTACATTTCTCTCCCTCTCCTTCTCTTTGTCATTCGGCCGACCTCATAAGCATTATGGATTGTCAGCCCTTTTTTCCAAACTTCGCTACTTAAAAATAAATAAATAAATAAATTAAATAAACAAATAAATAAAATTCATCTTAAAAGCTCGAGGGCAAAAAGCTATAAATGAAAG